TACTCTTTTGCATCAGTAGTTTTTTTTTTTATTTAATCTTGGTCTCTTTCCCTTCCATATAAAGTTGACTGTCACACTGTATCATACCCAACCATGGTTGGGGCATTCTTAAAGGAATCATGCAAAAGAGGTAGGACCATCTGGAGAGAAGATTTGCATTGATCAAGTTAATTCTTCCCCACCATGATAGTTCAACTTGTCTCCATTTTGTTAAAGAGTCGTGAGTTGATCGGAAAGTAATTAGGAAATTTGTTTGCATAGTTTCAGCTGGATCATTAGTGATTGTTATTCCCAGATATGATAATTGATTTATGGCCCAGTTGAACTTATATTTTTCCTTTTATATAGACTCTACTAACTCTTAATATGTTAATAGCTAGAGAGGTTGATTTGTTTACATGTATCTTATAATTTGAGATTCAACTGTATTTATTCACTTCTCCCATTAGGGCCTCCAATGATTCGACAGGGTTGGTTAAGGTCAAAATCAGGTCATCGGCGTACAAATTAAGTTTAAATTGTTTGTCTTTAAACCTAAAACATTTTTATTCTTGGGTTATTTCTGATGTTAATAGCTAAGATTTCTATTGTAATAATGTATAAAATAGGAGACAGTGAGCATCCTTGCCTTGTTCCGTTATATAATGTGAACCACCCTGCACATATGTTGGGAGCCATAATTCTTGCCGTAGGACCCTCATATAATGCAAGGATTGCCTTGAGCATCCAACCTCGTATACCAAATCCTTTTCTGCATCAACCGCCAAAAGAACTAAAGGCTTTTCGCTTTTTTAAGCTGCTTCTATTAGGTCTAACAACCTTCTGGAATTATCGACAGCATCCCTCCCTGGTTCAAAGCTTAGTTGGTCGTTGTTTATAATGTTGGCCAAAACACTTTTTAGTCTATTCAACAGAACTGATTAAAAAATCTTTACATCTGTATTAATTAGGGAAATTGGTCTGTAATTTTCCACTTTAAGTAGATCCTTCTTTTGCTTGGGGATAGGGAGGATATTGTCTCTCATTATTTTCCTGGGGAATCTGCCTACCGATACAATGCTGTTAAACATGTTGGTTAAATGAAAAGCTATAAGATCTTTGAAGGATTTATAGAATAGATTTGAGAAGCCATCTGGACCTGGAGTCTTTTCAGATTTTAGATTACCTATTACTTCCTCTACTTCTTGAACTGTTATAAGGGTGTTCAGATAATTGCTTTGGTCTAATTAGATTAAAGGGGTTTCAGTATTAGCCAAATATTCCTCTTCCAATACTTTAGGGATAGGGAGGTTGTACAGGTCTCCATGATACTTGTTAAATCTTTTTTAGGATCTAGGTATTCTCCTTCATAGTCAACTATTTTATCTCTTATTTTGTTTTTTGTTTTTTGTGAGGTTTCCTTTGCTATAGAATTTGGGTTTTAATTTATTAATTGTCTTCACGTTTTTTTCTAATAAAAGATTATTAATTTGATTTTGGACCGCTTTCAAAGCTTCTGCGTTTTCCCTTGAAGGAGTCTGCTTGTTCCTTTTAGAGGCTTTAGTTGGTTCCGAAATCATTACTCATTACTTTTCTGCATTATACTTTGCCTGAATACTAATTATATAACCTCTCATGGTAGATTTAAAGGCGCACCAATTATTTTTATATGAGGTATCTTTCGGATCGTTTTCAATAAAAAAATCTCTGATTTGACGGTTAAACAGTTCTAAATTAGATTTGTATCGTAATAAATAATTGTTAATGTGCCAGGTATCGCTATTAATCTTCTCCCATTGGTTTTTCATCTCCCACATATTAATGTTATAATCTGACCAGGAATTATCTAGAATATTTGTCTTTTATATTCGTCAAGGCGATTGCATTTCCCCAGACCATATCAATCCGGGAATAGGACTAGTGCACTCTAGAAAAAACAAGTATTTCAACATACCGGGGTACAACGTTCTCCATAAGTCAAAGAAATCATATTTATTCATATTACGCTTTATGGATTTAGCCAGCTTGTCTATTCTGCTATGGGATAGTGATATTGTAGTAAATTTTTTGTCCATTTTAGGATCAAGCACGCTATTAAAATCCCCGGCTATCAAACATGTTCCTATTTTATTAGAGTCAGCCAAATCTAAGATTTTTTTTTTTTCAAAATTGGGAATAGGGATTCGTTGGGGAGATATATATTTATGAATATTTATATTCATTTATCTTACAACAAACCAAAACATATCTGCCCTCGGGATAATTTGATGCATAATTTGAACTTTTAGTGCTTGAGAAAAAACAATTGCTACCCCTCGTTGTTTTTTTGTTTGTTTTTTTTGTTCCTTAATGAAGCATGAATCAAAATGGGAGATCTAGATCTGCCCCAACCCTGGTTATTTATTTCTGTCCAGTGGGTTTCTTGCAGGAAGCCCACCTCCACTTTGTCAGCATATAGTCAGATTAAGGATTTCTTATTAGGAAAGTTTAATCCCTGAAGGTTAACCGACATCATTTTCAACATTGCTCCTAGTAGAATGATTATGCCACTGCCCCCAAGGTGACTGCAATGCTATATACAAAACACACATATAACAAAACTCACTAACAATAAGTGGCCTTGTGGGAATATCACCCAGTCTGGCCCGACAAGATCTCGCTCCTGAAAGGTTACCTCTCTCCTCCCCCTCCAGGAACCAGTCCTGCTTTTGTGGTATGGCAGCCCAAGCGACCATATCTCGGTATTTGTGTCAACTCTTGACACATGGGGGGGGGGCGATATGATCACAAAAGTTGATCTCTTAAATATTTTATTTCCTTGTCCGCTCTTATCACTCATCACCAACCCTCTGTTGGTAAAACGGAAGAGGGAGAGAGAAGAGCAGAAGAGGCGAGAAAAAGAGGGAAAAAAAATATATAATTGCTTACAACTCATGTTTGATCCTTTGTGCATCCTAATTGATTAGAAATGTTAGCTTTCCCTACTTTTCCCCTTTACTTTACGACCATGTGTATTTATCAATACTAAAGTGTTTTGCTTTCATATCATCCTGTATTAGAAGCTCTTATGTATTTTTCTATCTTTTGTGCTGCCTAAATTCAAAAGACCTTATTGCACTTTGTTTTGAAACTTCCTGTGTGATCGTGTTTTACTTTATTATAGTGGATTCTAATAAATACTATCCTGTGTATTAGTTTGCTCGTGTTTATCGTTTCACTATATATTTGTGACTGTGCTTATAAACCTTTTATATTACTACTTCACTTTCCTTCTTAAATTCTCCTATCTATAAACCATTTAAGTGTATATTGATTTCACTTTGACTACCCCTCTTCTTGTTACATTATTTCCACACCACTGTCCCCTCAATTATTCTAAAGCTACCTGCCAGTCTGTGAACCTCTAGTTTAGTGTAAAAAAAAAAAAAAAAAAGAAGAAGCAGGGTTTTATAGCCCTTCTATTACAGACTCTAGTTAATTAATCCTAATACAATCCCAATTAAGTGCTAGTTTCCATACAGTTCTCCATGAACTTTAGTTTGCCTTTATGCGAGCAGTTCCAGTTAAAGAGCTGTATAGTTCCTGGTTCTTTGCTCGGCTATCATCGTACAATTGTTCCACTTTAAAAAAAAAAAAAAAGTAATAGTTGTGTACTGTGCTGGACATCATGACGTAAGCACATCGACAGAGGAGGGGCGATATGGCGGAGAGGTGGACGGCAGAATGTTAAGCTGCACGAGGAGATGCTGACACGATAATCTACACCGACGGAGGTGTAAGGCAGCTGGTAATTACAGGAAGATAGAGGACAGGAGAAGAGGACAAGAGGGGAGAATACGAAAGGACGGCGGGATATAGAGATTTGACTCAACAGAGGGGGATTGCAAAAGAAAAGACAGAGAGGCACGGAAAGGTGGAGAGATACCTGCAAGCATAAAAAAAAAAAAGATAAGTGAATCTTTTTTTTTTTTTTTTTTCTTACTCTAACTGTGAGAATGTAAACTGTTAATAGGAGGAGTAATACAATTAAATTCAGATGTAATACATACCCCCAAAGAAATAACCTGTTACACGCAGGAAAATATTAGCAGGTTTATAAATTGGTGAGACTTTGATATGCTGAAATAGATCAGCAAAACTTCTTAATCCCTAGAGGATAATTGACACTAAGGGTTGGAAGAGCTAAAAGCAGGTTGAGGGGAAGAAAAGGAAAGGAATATTTATTAATTCAATATGGCATCAAAAAAAGCACAAGATGACAAGGGGAAAAAGGGGGGAAAAAAGACAGCATCCCAGAGAAAAGGCACTCAGGTTATTTCTCCCCCTCCCAAAATAAATTCCAACCGAATATGGAAATCCGTGAAACTCTTAACTCCTGCTAAAGTCAATCCCCCTCAGCAAGTGCAAGAAAGTAACCTCCTAAGCGAGGAAATCTTGACAGACTATCAAGACAATTTTTTGAAAAGTATAACAGAAGATATTCAGAAGGGATCGACAGAATTAAAATATGAAATACAAAGTATGCAGGAAAAGTTAGGATCAATAGAGTCAAAAATTATGCAAACAGAACTAAAATATGATCACATTCAAACAACGTTTTCGGATCTGCAGCTGAAGGTGGAACAATTAGAAGGTAAATTAAATGACATAGAAGACCGCTCTAGAAGATCCAATATAAGGATTCATAACATTCCTGAAACTATCAATGACAAAATGCTGAAAAAATTTCTAATAGAATATTTTGAGTCACTGCTATCCGAAACAGGATTAAAAGACTCTGAACTGGACAGAGCCCACAGGTTCCCAAGACGCCAAAATAGAGCAGAATCTTTACCCAGAGATGTAATAGTTAAATTCCAAACCTTCTACCTTAAAAATAAGATTATGTTGTCTTTAAAAATAAACCTGCTTTGGAAGATAGATTTAAGGAATTATTGATCTTTCCGGACTTATCATTAGTGATGTTGCGAACTGTTCGCGAACTTGCCGCGAACGGTTCACTCCGATTCGTGGCGAACTCCGGTCAGCTGACACATCCCTGCCAATCTCCGGCAGATCCTCCCTCCCAGACCCTCCTACTTCCTGGACAGCATCCATGTTGAAGGCAGCTTCAACATAGATTGTGTCCAGGAGTTGGGAGGGTCTGGGAGGGAGGGTCCGCCGGAGATTGGCAGGGATGTGTCAGCTGACCGGAGTTTGCGGCGAACCGTTCGCGGCAAGTTCGCGAACGATTCGCGACATCACTACTTATTTTATACGAGGAAATGGCGGAGGATTCAGTCAGCAGTTGTTCATATTGAGATCGAGAGAAGTGAAATATATATGGGGATTCATAGTTACATAGTTACATAGCTGAAAAGAGACTTGCGTCCATCAAGTTCAGCCTACCTCACATTTGTTTTTTGCTGTTGATCCAAAAGAAGGCAAAAAAAACCCAGTTTGAAGCACAATTTTGCAACAAACTAGGAAAAAAATTCCTTCTTGACCCCAGAATGGCAGTCAGATTTATCCTTGGATCAAGCAGTTATTACCCTACATTGAAAGATTATATCCTTGAATATTCTGTTCTTGCAAGTATGCATCTAGTAGCCGTTTGAACATCTGTATGGACTCTGATAAAACCACTTCCTCAGGCAGAGAATTCCACATCCTGATTGTTCTTACAGTAAAAAAACCTTTCCTTTGCCTTAGACGAAATCTTCTTTCTTCCAGTCTAAACTCATGGCCTCGTGTCCTATGTAAAGTCCGGTTTGTGAATAGATTTCCACACAATGGTTTGTATTGGCCCCGAATATATTTGTATAATGTTATCATATCCCCTCTCAGGCGACGTTTTTCTAAACTAAATAGGTTTAAATTTGTTAACCTTTCTTCATAGCCGATATGTTCCATTCCTTTTATTAATTTTGTAGCCCGCCTCTGCACTTTTTCTAGTGCCATAATATCCTTCTTTAGAACAGGTGCCCAAAATTGCACAGCATATTCAATATGGGGTCTTACCAGTGATTTATAAAGAGGCAAAATTATATTCTTGTCCCGAGAATGAATGCCCTTTTTCATGCATGACAATACCTTACTGGCCTTGGCCACTGCTGATTGACATTGCACATTGTTGCATAGTTTGTTGTCTATAATAATTCCCAAGTCCTTTTCATGTGTTGTTATCCCTAATTCGCTTCCATTAAGGGTATACGTTGCTTGTGTATTATTTACGCCGAAGTGCATAACTTTGCATTTTTCAACATTAAATTTCATCTGCCATTTGAGTGCCCAGTCCCCCAGTCTATCTAAGTCCCTCTGCAGAAAAGTAATATCTTGCTCACATTGTATTGTTTTACAAAGTTTGGTGTCATCTGCAAACACTGAAACATGACTTTCAATGCGGTCTTCAAGATCATTTATAAACATGTTAAATAGAAGGGGTCCCAGAACAGACCCCTGAGGGACACCACTTGCCACCTCTGTCCAGCTTGAAAATTTACCATTAATGACAACTCTTTGTACTCTGTTTTTAAGCCAATGTTCTACCCAAGAACAAGCATTTTCATCTAGACCGATTTCCTTGAGTTTGAACACTAATCTATTGTGTGGAACTGTATCAAATGCCTTGGCAAAATCCAAATAGATCACATCCACGGCAACACCCTGATCTATACTTCTACTTACTTCTTCGTAGAACGCAATCAAGTTAGTTTGACATGACCTGTGCTTCATAAAACCATGCTGATTTTTGCTGATAACCATGTTCTTCTCAAGGAATTCTTGAATATTATCCCTTAATAACCTTTCAAATATTTTACCAGCCACAGAAGTTAAGCTCACAGGTCTATAATTTCCAGGCAAGGATTTTGAACCCTTTTTGAATATAGGAACCACATCTGCCTTCCTCCAATCCTCCGGAACACTTCCTGAAAGAAAAGAATCTTGAAAGATTAAAAACAGAGGTTCACTTATTTCTGCACTTAGTTCCTTAAGTACACGTGGATGGATACCGTCAGGCCCTGGAGCTTTGTTTATATTAACTTTCTTTAGTTGCTGCAGCACCTTGTCTTGAGTTAACCAATTACAATTATTCTGCAAGTTTTTAGTAGCAATCATTTGCACATCTATTGCCATGGGTTCTTCCTTAATATATACGGAGGAGAAATAGTTATTTAAAATTCCTGCCTTTTCCTGGTCTTCATTAATTAACACCCCCGTTTCAGTTTTTAGTGTACCTACACTTTCATTTTGTTTTTTTTTAGAATTTATGTACTTAAAAAATGCTTTGGGGTTGGTTTTGCTCTCTTCAGCTATCATTATTTCATTTTGAAGTTTAGCAAGTCTAATTGCCTTTTTGCACGCATTATTTGCATCCTTATATCTTTTATAAGATGCATCTGATTTGTCCGATTTAAATGCTTTAAATGCCCTTCTCTTAGTTGTAATCTCTTGTTTTACTTCTCTACTAAGCCACATTGGTTTTAATTTGTTTCTTTTATATTTATTTCCCAACGGTACATACTGAGAAATGTACCTTTGTAATATTTGTTGGAAGATGATCCATTTATCCTCAGTGTTCTTTTCACTAAAGAGTTTATGCCAGTCAATATATTGTAAAGCTTCCCTTAACTTATTGAAATTGGCCTTTTTAAAATTATATGTTTTAGTATTCCCCATGTGCTTTTGTTTTTTTGAGTTTATTTCAAAGGACACTATATTGTGATCACTATTTCCCAAGTGCTCACCTACTTGAATGTTGGTCAAAAGATCAACGTTGTTTGTTAAAACCAGGTCCAGACAAGCATCCATTCTAGTTGGTGCTTGTACAAGTTGTGACATGAAGGTGTCATTTAACAAGTTTAAAAACCTAATTCCCTTTGCTGAGGCACTAGTCCCTCTGTCCCAATTTATATCCGGGTAATTAAAATCTCCAATAATTAAAGTGTTACCCAGATTTGCAGCTTTCTCAATTTGCTCAAACAGCTGTTGTTCCTCGTCAATATTAACATTAGGTGGTTTATAACATATCCCAACCAATAGTTGGTTTCCCTTCTTTTCCCCAAGCAGATATTTACCCATAAAGCTTCCACATTATCCTCCTCGCATTCCATTTGCTTAACATTTGGCTTTAAATCATGTTTGACATACAAACATACCCCACCACCCTTCTTGTTTTTCCTATCCTTCCTAAATAACGTGTACCCATTTAAGTTAGCTGCCCAGTCATGTGTCTCATCCCACCATGTTTCAGTTATGCCTATTATATCATATTGTTTAGTGTGATTCCTTAAATCTCTCAGGATAATATTGTTACAAAAAACTGGAAATCACTATGTTGCTGTTTAAACTCACCGATTGATACTGTTTGCCACTGCATAAGTTAAGCAGAAAACCACACGAATGGATTACGCGAACCCTTATGAAGGCTCCATTCGTGGTACGAACGGGGGACCCCCCAGAAACTGGCGGGTGCCGCCACTTAACCCCGTCACCCCGCAAACTACCGAACGGTCGACCACGCGGCCCTCGGAGTGTGGCAGCCATTAACCACCCAGGTGTCTGCGGTTTGCGGTTAACCACAACGTAATTGGTAGGCCTGGGGGCATCGACATTCGCACCCAAAGTACCGAAGGGAAAATACCGAACTATCAACCAAACGACGACCCCCTACAGCGGGTCGCGTGGCGCTCGTTAACTTGTGGTTTCTGCGGTTAACCGCAGGTCAAGTACCCTGCTCCCAGGTGGTCCCCATTCCCTTACCGAACGAGCCCACTACCAGACAGACAGCGGGACTTCGCATGAACTGATACCGAGTTTAGTTCCACGAGTTAGACACGAAGTCCCGCTGCTCGCGAAACCAGCAGAAAACATGGCCGCCAACAAAGACTAACAATCTCAAAATGCCGAACGGACTTTATACGGCAGAAACAGTACATTCTGTTCGTGGGATTAGAGCGCCATTCGCCTGTTTTATATACACGAACGCGAGCCTTCAGATGAAGGGCAGAATGAGCGGTTTTCTTGTATTAATGTAAAAGTTATGGATTTTTATGCAGTTTTCTGGGACATAATAAAACGTGTTTTTTTGTGCGCTTGGAGATAATTAGATTGTATAACCGTTGGCCTCATTATCTCCAAGCTGGGCGGGTACTAATTCAAATAATACACTGTACTGTGATTGGATATTTGTCTGTACTGTACCTGTATTCCATCAGGTCCACAGGGGGCTGTCCTTGGACCTGAGGAATCACATAAATTGCCATGCTATGTGCCAGTAAAGCCAGTTCGGTTTTGACCCTCAACTTGCAGCCTCGACTCATGTTGTAGGGATCCGGGATATTGATGCTTATATCGTGCTTGGGGATATTCTTAATTTGCAGCTTACTACCGAAAGACCTCCGTTCGACTCTCTGCAGCGGGAACCAGGACATCCAAGCGATCAACCCTCCTGCTAGACCGGGGGCAATCGTAACAAATATGGCAAGAGAAGATGGAAACATTTGAAACCCCCGAGTCTCTGAAGGAGTGGATGGAAGAGAAACAAATAATGGTGTTGGTCAATAACAAATTGACAGAAGAGGATGAGGAGAAGAAAGGGATAAAGGTGTTAATTTATTTTTTATTTATTTTTTTCTTCTCTTCTCCAAGAGAATCAAGAAAGTCAAGAAAACTAAGAAGAGCTATTAAGGCCTCCATTTGAGCATGTTTGCAAATAAAAAATAAACTAAGGTAGAAAGGAAAATCTATGGAGAAACTTATAGAAATTGCCGTTGGAGGCAGATTTAACTATGACTGACTTTGTGGAGTTTGGAACAGTTCCTATACATTTTTTTTTTTTTTTTAGTTGGGTTATTTCTTAACTTATCTCAATATCTCACAGGGGGAGAGAGGGAGTGTTTAAATGTGTGACGAGAGCAATCTCGCCACATTGCATTGGAGAAGCTTGGTTGCTCGCCTGTTGCCTTTGGATTATGGCCCCATGTTAAAGGCTTGATTTTCTCCTGCAAAGACAAGAAAGCCGGGTCATTTGGTGCTTGCCCTGTTTGAGCAGTGATACCCCAGATAGCTATACCAAGGAGCCCATTCGTATAATGAAAGACTATGGGAAAGACTTTGGCTCCATGGCAATTGAACTGTATGTGTGTGCTCTGAGCGCCATTCAGTAATAATGTGTGCTCAGACCTAAGCTATCTGGGCATATGTTGC